GGATTCTGGAGGAGTATTCATGGTATATTCAAGCCCAGTCGTGTTTATGTACGAAAAAATTCATGAGAACATTTTTCTCATGAGCCACGCTAGTGTATCTTCCCTTTGTGAAAATTTTATCCAGATTCATTCAGTAGTTATTGAGATATTAATTATTTAGTCCAGGCATATCATTTTTGAAAAATAAGTCAGATGCGTGGGATATATTTGCTGAAATAAGTCAGAGTGCAGAAGGTTAAATCCCATGTATTATCAGAAAAAAACCTTATACAAAATCAACCTTAAATTATGGATAGTAAATAAATAGCTATGATTTTGAAAACCATTGCCATTTACCTTATTCTCCCATCTGCCAATATTTTTTTATTTTTCTATTATTCTGGAGTTGATCAGGTCTGTTTTCTCTTGTTAGGTTGGGATTTATGGCTATTGTTTGGGGTGTTTTCTTTATTGCTGCAATGTTAATGTATCTTCGGGTAAAATTGTGATAGGTCGTAGACATACATGTAGTAAGGAGCTTAAGCTTCAAGTTTTTAAGAGAAGATATATCGTCGCATGAATTCAACAGTCTCCTAAATACATGTTTTCCTGTTTTGAGAAATTTAACCAAAAAGGTTTATGACCTATATCTTTAATATTCATCAACAAATCTTTCTAAGATTTGATTTGGAGACAAAGAACTTACAAAATTTTATATATATCACATTATTTTTGTAGGTTTTGGACTAAGTCTGTAAAAAATAAAGATTGAAATTCAACAAAAGAAAAAACGGCAGCTAAAAATTCAGGAATTTGTTAATTTTTCTTTCCAAACTACACGATACTTGATTCTTTTTGTCCAAACTGGCAGAAAGGAAATCATTGAACTGACATCATTCATTATTTCATTTTTGTTGATTTTTCATAAAACTAAATCTGACTCTCCATTGCAGTATAAACAGTATTAAATAGTATCTAAAAATATAATTACTTTATTATCCAAAATAAAAGTACAAATTCTGATCATCATTTACACAGGTATTACTCAACAATTTTACCAAGTTGCTTTAACTCATACATGCGTGTACAAAATTATGCTTCAATACAATTATGCGTGTACAAAATTATATGCATGTATGAAATTTTAATTTCAATTCAGATATGCATGTACAATATTATACTTTGATGACAGATATGAAAGTGCGAAATTTTACTTCCACACAGATATACACACAGATGAATGTACAAAATTACACTTCAATACAAATATTCATGTATGAAATATACTACAAATACAGAAATGGATGTACGAAATATTGCTTCAACACAGCTATGCACATACGAAATTATAATTGAACACAGATATGCATGTACGAAATTATGCTTCAATACTGATATGCATATACGAAATTATACTTCAACACAGATATGCATGTACAAAATTATACTTCAGCACAGATTATGCATGTACAAAATTATGCTTCAATACAGATATGCATGTACAAAATTATGCTTCAATACAGATATGCATGTACAAAATTATGCTTCAATACAGATATGCATGTACAAAATTATACTTAATAAAGATATGCATGTTCAAAATTATACTTTAATACAGATATGCATGTATGAAATTATACTTCAATTACAGAAATACATGTACGAATTCTTACTTTAACACAAATATGCATATACAAAATCATGCATCGATACAGATACGCATGAGCAAAATCAAGTCATGCATTATCACTCACTGTCTTACTCTTTACTCACAATAATGTGACATGTTAGTCTCCAATGTTAGTCAACTTATTTCTCGGTTGTAACATGAACTTCACGAAATGTTTTTTCATAATATTTTCTGTCTCTTCTTTTCATGTATTTCATCATTGACCTAATGTCTTTCATCTTTTGTTGAGACACCGATGGTGACTTTGACAGATTTGGTACTTCAGCACTTATATTTCTGAATACTTCTTCCTGTACGGCATTGACTTCTTACGTCTCTTTGCCTTCTCATAATTTAAGTCTACTTCCTGTGCATCTTTGTAAACCCCAGTTTTATATTTAACTTTGCTCTCATTCCGGTCATACTGTATGCTTTTTACCTGAAAAAAGGGGACTGTACCTTCTAATGGGAGTTTTTTAGACAGAGAAGCGAAATCATACACATTCTTATCTATTTCTATGACCTCAAAATCATTTACATCATTGAGCAATGATACCACTTGTCTAGGAGTAAAATATTCCTTTGTTTTAAAATGTTTTTCAATTTGGCTGTGTATGTTATCTACATTTTGTAGTATGCTATGCCCGGGCTCGCCATACTTTTGTATGATGTGCTCTATATTATTATCTGAGTTGACAAATTGCAACAAAGCAGTGGCCATTATTTTGTTGCGGTTTTGTGGCACACAAGAGTCGCACCACAGAATAAGTTTAAGAACTGCATCTTGCAACTTTAAATGGTTTAATGTAGCAACAATAGCACTAGCTATTTCGTTCCCTCCCCGACCAGCCTGTAGTTCATTCCACACAGCGCATACCACTTTCTTGGTAAGGATACCATCAGTATCAGAATATAATGCTACACTTGTGAGATTATATATTGATAATTTCCGTTTATAGTAGAATTCATTTATTTCAGCCTTAGGACATGAAATGACATTTTCCAGGTCAAATTCAACAACTGCAGTATCTTTTGGTGGGCTTCTGTCTATGTCCCTTTCTTTCTTTGTATCATCTTTTCTTTTGACATGATTTTTGTAGTTAGTTAGAATTTCATCTTTAAGTTGATCTTCGTCCTCAGTAGTACGATTCAACTCACATGTGTTACATCTATCTTTTTTTGGTTTATTGGCCGATATGTTAAATTCATAGTTGTAAATATGCCGATACATGCTTACTTTCAATGGCCCAGGCAAACCGGTTTCCTCGACATGTTTCACATATAATTTGTACATCTTATTTACATTTAAACTGCTGTCAATATACTCAACTTGGCTATTTGCACGACAGTAGTGAGAATTCACACGAGGGAATGAATTAATGTGGTCACGAATGACTTGCTTGGCTGGCTCAAAATGTTTTGATTTCGGACCATGGTCTCTTTTAAGATGCACTGACGAGCCATGGGGTGATTTTTTATGCTTCAAAGCATAGAGAACACGGTGGCCTTCGATATCTAGAGTGCTCTCATAAAAAGTTCTACACACTCTAATAGTATTGGAACCCAATGTGAATGTGTAACGGTAACTATACTTTCTACGAGATGTTCCATCTCTCGTTGTTTCCCTATTTTTTGTCATTTTTTTTACAGTTTTGATATAGTATGAAATTTTTTGATCATCAGAAAGTTTCCAGAAGTCTTTATGTAGACTTTGCCTGTCACTTGCACTTATATATTTTGAACAACAAAATTTACAGTTAGCACAGTTCTTTACTGTCCGCACAGCCTTAGCTTCTCTACGTCTGCCTCTGGAGTCGATATATTCTTCCCCTGACTGGCGTAGTCTCTTTCTTATATTCTTCTTCCACTGCATCTTATCTGCTTTTCTCTTCTTGCTAATTTCTAGAAATAAGAAACTGACGTGTAGATGAAGAATCACATTAAAATGAAGTCAATATGCTGGTCAGTAGCAAGTTCAATCATTGGAGATAAAACTTAATCAGATAAGCAATGATCCCTATGAAAGCATTTTAATCATGTAACTTAGTTGATTATGTTTACACAAAACAAAATTTACACATCTTAATTGGTGCAGTTTTAGACTTATGTTTCTCTGTTGTATCTATGTCTGTTGTCTCAGGTGGATAAGTCTCAGCTTCAGATTGGTTCTCTGTTGTATCTATGTCTGTTGTCTCAGGTGGATTAGTCTCAGCTTCAGATTGTTGGTTTTCTGCTGTATCTATGTCTCTTGTCTCATTAATACATAATATTTACCCAACTAATACTCACCTTTTCAAATGGAAAATTGAAGGAGTTGCCTCAAAGAATTGTACATATTGTAATGAGGAAGATTCATATGCACACTTTTTCATTTCTTGCAAAAGAGTAAAGTTTTTATGGAATGAAGTAGAGTGCAAATTAAATGCTAGATTTGGGCACAGAATTAGATTAGGACACAAACACATTTTATTCAAGTATGAATGTAAAACAAAAAAGGAAGAAGACTACATCAGTTATATCATTGTTATTGCTAAGAATTGTATAAGTAAGTACAAATACGGGGATTATCCCAATTTACTGTGCTTGTTTGATCAAGAATGTAATATTAGAAATGTATAAAATTATGTAAAATGATTGGAGAAAATAAATCACAATAAATATAAATACATTACTATCTGAAATATACAAAAGTTAGGATAAAAAAAAATGAAATAAAAAATAAAAAATAAAATAAAAAATGTCTCTTGTCTCAGGTGGATTAGTCTCAGCTTCAGACTGTTGTTTCTCTGTTGTATCCATGACTGTTGTCTCAGGTGGGTTAGTCTCAGCTTCAGATTGTTGGTTCTCTATTGTATCCATGACTGTTGTCTCAGGTGGATTAGTATCTGAAAACAAACACAATGTGTGTAAAAATGGATGTGTAGAATAATACAAACCTGCTATCAATACTTGGTGTGCCATTGGGTCATTCTTGATTGTACCAGGGAATTTACTCTTAAATGTACTAGATGAATTCTGATCTAAAATAGTCAAAATGAAATGAAATTGCTTTACATAGTGATTGTCTAATTAATTAATGGAAAATTGTTACAGTTAAGATAAGATAAAACAATGAAACTAACCTCTTGTTGTATATGATTGAACTTGTTCTTCTTCATAAACATCTGTTGGGATGTCTAGATCTGGATCCAATAAGAGCCTTAAATAACCAATCCAGTTGTTGTTTGTATCCATCTTTTGACTTGTGCAAAATGGATTATTAGAATTCTTCAGTATTTTGTATTCATTTCCATAATTCATATGGAATAAACAGATAGCTATGCTGATATTACCTTGTGTCAATTGAAGCAAATTAAACTATTTCTCTTATTATCTTCTTTCTAATCAATCTCAAATCACAGTCAACATAATGAGTCTTTAGAGCTCTTGTTTCTAAATCACTCACTGTCACATTTAAGGAGACACTTAGTCTACTGACTGGTCTCATTTCCAAGAGTTGTACAACTTGACTGAATGTAAGTTCAATGCTTTCATCAAGATAAAGAGCTTCTAATTTGTGAAGGTTGTTTACAATGTCCAGCAATGTTTCAAAGTGAAATTGTTGTACAGAATAACAGATTTGCAGTAATCTCAGATCTGTACATTCAGACAATATTTCGATATCTTCATCAACTAAGTTTGGACAAAAGTTTAGTTCCACGGTTTCTAGGGTGTTTTTCACACTTTCAATGAATGCTAGAGTTGATACTGGCCAACCTGTCAAAGACAGATACTGTAACTTTTTAGCTTCTAATAACTGTACAGTTAGAGCAAAATCAATATGGGCAGGTGGGATGTGTAATATTGGATAGCTGATTGCAAATACTTCTATGCATCTTGCATGTTTCAATATTGTATGTAAGTTGTCTTTGTTAATAGTGAGCTGATCATCAGATGCAACAGTTTTCCACAGCACAGAGTTGTTGTTGATTATGTCACTAAACCTGGGATGAAGAAAGGCAAACGATCTAATAAGTTCTATCACATTGAAGAACTGGAATATGTTCAACAGAACATTATCCGGAAGATCTACTATATTCTGAAAATAAAAAAGTAAATATTCTGTATATTTCTATGGGACAAGGGCCATGTGCAATAATGTACTTTCTGCCAATTTTTCCTAACTACTTTAAACTACACAGTTCTTGGTACAACTAGGCTATACATATTAAGTTATGATTACATAAAATTTGGATTTTCTTTAAAATTCATGAAATATTTGCAATGGATACAACTCAAGGGGTAAATAAATTGCAATGATGATCAAAATTATTACTTACCACTGGCATTTAGTTGGTTGGATAAGCATTGACTATTTTCACTTTTCTGCTGAATTACACTTTCTTAAGATAGATGATTGGTTTAAACATTGAGTCACATGTTAAGTTTACTGGCATCCAATTGGATAATTCACTTAGGAAAATCAAGAACTGATGCCTTTGTATTTAGGAAACTTGGATCCTACCTGTCTTTATGAATTATGTAGTTAGGATGTTGTTACCTAAAAAAGCATGCATTTCTAGCACAGATAGGTCAAAACTGACATCACCATGAGATTCTACGCACTTTGTTTACCTACATTGTAATGTTACCTTAATTTTTTTGAAAATGTTAGTTAGGAGACTGTTGAACTCATGCGACGATATGCTGACATTTCACACTGTGATCCCAAGGATTAATTACAATGTCCCTCTCAATTGAATTCTTGGAGAACCTCATTTCTCCTATTTTCTTATACATCTGTCTTAAACAGCAAATGTACGCATTCATATACAGTTTTCTCAAAACGTGTAGCTTAACCTCTCTACTAGTTCTTTTGCAAATCGTTATTTGGTTCCACTTAATGTTTGACTGCGCATTCGGTTTCAACATTGTACTAATATCGGTTTTTTATTTAAGCGTACCCATTTGAAATTAAAGGCCAGACAATCACATTAATATTAAATTTGAAATCATGTAGCTATTCGCATCTCATCTCTGTTTCTTAGAATGCCTGTTCTGAGAATAAGGGTAATCAGACTCATCCAAACAAGTGGGACGGGAGTATGTCTTGTCTGTGTGTTGTGCTTTCCTGTGTCTATTTCGAGAGCTCCTATTCGCAAACGACTTGCCACAAATCGAACACACAAATATCTTTTCTTTACCCATTGCTATAAAATGATAAATTGTACAAAACCGGTTGGCAGTTTTTCTTCCATGATAAAGGATTTTTTTTAAGAAATCATTAAATATAATTTTCAATAGGTAAAAATAAAATACAGTTATTTTATGATATATAGAAAAATATCCAATATATTTAGATGTATACAGATACAGATCCTTATAAATGTATGATCCAAACGTCCAAGCCAGACAAGTGAGTTATACTGAACTAACCAATACAGATTATTCTTTTTATTAAAGACATCGTTGTGTCCAGCTGCTCCTGTCTAACATCAGTGTCTATCTCTTGATTATATATATACATATGTGTACTGTTTTCTTGCTGCTTTAGTTAATAAGCAGTAAAAGGTTTGAATAGAATGTCAATAAATAAAATACATGGCCCCTATGGTGTTCTTGGAAGAATCAGGAGCTCAAATACATAATAAAGTCACTTGCCAATGTTAATTGTTATATATTGGATAGACTTTCCACAGTGGCACGGTTGTTTTAAACTGACTTTGGTTTTCTTGATCGGCGCTGGTTGTTTTATAGATAAATCAAGCGGTTTTGATTGTATCACAATGTCAATATTCGGAGAATCAGGTCTCAGGATTTCAGGAGATGACGGTGGTATATCTTCCTGGACATTTTCAGCTACTGATGGTACTCTTGAATACTGCACTAATTTTACTTTTATTCTGAAATTTACAGCTTTAGGCTTTATTAATCTTACATGATATTGATCTTCCTAGTCTTACGGGGCACTTAAACTTTTGTGCCTATAACATGGACATTTTCTTCAAAAAGTCACATCTTGCATGAAAAATTTCTATATTCAGGTACCCCTTATATGGAAATTGTTGATTTTTCTTCTTGCATTGTAATTTGCTAAATGTGCCTCCTAGAGTGTCACATCCCTTTATGGCAAAATACATTGAGTGCCCCCCCCCCCCCCTGACCAAGATCCTATTCATTATCCATCCTAATTTTGATATTTTGGCACGTTCCACTACACACTGCTAGTATTTTGTCAAGTGATGGTACTAATGTGACTTGGATTCTGTATTTATACAGGTGGAATAACTTGATTCACCTAATAACCTGGCCATTCCACTGTATACACTAGAAATGAATGTGGTTGAAAAATTTGGAGCAACACTTAACAGCACCTTTGCTGTGTTATCATGTTTTTATGATGATCAGTAAGCTCGCTGCAATCTAGGCTCATTGAGGATCTGCACAGGAATTTCAAAACAAGCAATCAATCTCAGGTCAATCAAATGGTATCTGCTTGGCTTACTATTTTTTTTATACAGAATTCAATTTATTTCTAATAATCAATACAATAGAATACATATGAACAAATTGTTGTTGTTAGGCTTAGTACTGATCATCTCTTCTATGCTAAGCCAGTGTATCATTCTTGCTTGGACCTTTGATAATGCTGTCAACCAACTATAAAATATTTACAATCTATTATCTTAAACTTTTGTGCCTATAACATGGACATTTTCTTCAAAAAGTCACATCTTGCATGAAAAATTTCTATATTCAGGTACCCCTTATATGGAAATTGTTGATTTTTCTTCTTGCATTGTAATTTGCTAAATGTGCCTCCTAGAGTGTCACATCCCTTTATGGCAAAATACATTGAGTGCCCCCCCCCCCCCCCCTGACCAAGATCCTATTCATTATCCATCCTAATTTTGATATTTTGGCACGTTCCACTACACACTGCTAGTATTTTGTCAAGTGATGGTATTAATGTGACTTGGATTCTGCATTTTTACAGGCGGAATAACTTGATTCACTTAATAACCTGGCCCTTCCACTGTATACACTAGAAATAAATGTGGTTGAAGAATTTGGAGCAACACATAACAGCACCTTTGCTGTGTTATCATGTTTTTATGATGATCAGCAAGCTCGCTGCAATCTAGGCTCATTGAGGATCTGCACAGGAATTTCAAAACAAGCAATCAATCTCAGGTCAATCAAATGGTATCTGCTTGGCTTACTATTTTTTTTATACAGAATTTAATTTATTTCTAATAATCAATACAATAGAATACATATGAACAAATTGTTGTTGTTAGGCTACTGATCATCTCTTCTATGCTAACCCAGTGTATCATTGTTACTTGGACCTTTGATAATGCTGTCAACCAACTATAAAATATTTGGTTGGTATGGATAGTAGATACATTTTACTGAAGAAACATTATACCATTATTCTGTAATACCATGGTAATACCATTTATAGCACTATCAGTGGCCAAGAATACGCTCATGGAATTAAAGGATTCAGAGGGAACTAAGTACACAAATCTTGTATTAATGACTGCTTGTTTGCCATCCCGCATGTGTACATTTCTTTTTTGATAAACTGCCCTATCAGTAGAACCTTCACTAAATATGGTATACTGTAAAACTTGATAAAGAAAAACTCTTTCCCTAAGTCTTTACGCAATGTGTCAGATTTTAGGTCAAGTAATATGCCAAGTCTGGCTCTATTTCTCATGCAATCCTGAACAGATACTTCTCATTTAGATCATCTGAAAAGAGAAGACAAATATCCAAAGTCTGCGATAAGGTGAGATTCACCAATATAAATCCTTTTCTCTTTGTCCAGAGACCATAAAATCAGAAAATGAACTATGATTTCAAGGCAATGATTGTCCTTATGAGTAAAGTGTACCTTGGATGATTACTTTGGTCAAGCATTTTAGTGGACCCAGGTATACTTTTTTTCATGTGAACATGCTTTATGAATCTGACAAGTAAGTCATCAACAGAAGATTTCTGGAAGTAACCGCATCCCTTAACGAATGGAGATTTACTAGCAGTTTTCAGTTCATATGCAGATCTAATGATCTGTACTGAGGACTAAATCTGGCACTACAAATTTTGCTATACATCGGTTTTCACATGCCAAGGCCAAGGGCCAAGTCTGGCTCTATTTCTCGTGCAATCCTGAACAAATACTTCTCATCTAGATGATCTGAAAAGAGAAGACATATATCTGGCCTCTTTGGGACATGGAGAGGCTGGAGGGGGCCAAGTGGAGCCCAAAAAATCTAGGGTCCATAAAGGCACACTTCCAATTCCCACCTGAAAGGGGCTGTCAAGTGGAATAAGTTTCCACGGCCTTGTACTTGGAGACCTCTTAGGGCAAGTGGCCTTGGCGGCAGTTGGTGTGGGAGCCTCCTCATCTACTGTAGCTGGGGCCCTGGAAACTTCTTCGATTAGCCCTTCTATTGTTGTGGTAAGGAGTCTACCCAGACTAGACACGGCTGTCTCACTGGGTTTGGGGGGGGGGGCCTCAAGCGACATCAAAGACACTAGGGCTGCCCTCTGGTCTGTGTTTCCCACTGGCATTCTCTTGTTCACTTGCTAGTGTCACACTTGGGCTTTCGAGTGGTAATGAGGGAACTTGGGCCACCCTCTGGTCTATGGCAACGGCAACCCCAGGCTTGCTGTTACCACTCTCACCCTCCTGCAATACAACAATATGGACATCTAGGAAAGTTAGGATTACAACACCCTAGAAACAAGGAGTCTACATCAAACATGAACCTGAGGTCCGCAGGTGCGTCCAAAGATAGTGTAGGGCTCGCTGCCGGCTGGGGTCTCATACTGGATGCCTCAGGGACGGCCACACATGTCATACTGGACATGGTGGTTGCAGGTTTTGGGTGTTTCCTCTTTAAATGGTCATTGAGGGACCTTCTCCAGATGAAAAATTTTCCACAGCCTTCCTTCTTGCAACGGTATCCCTCAGGTTTGTGTCGCTTTTGGTGTCCTCTTGCCATGTGGTGTTGTAACAGACCCAGATGATTAAAATCTCTTCTGCACTCTTCGCAATGGACCGAGGGCTTGCGCCCGAGGGGGCTGTGTACTTGTCTGGGCATCTGGGCAAAATTTCTTTGTTGTTTTGAAGAGGAACTGGAATGCTACAAGTGATACTTTATAATTACATATAATAATTGCATTCAATTCTCCATCAAAACTTAACAATGGTGATTCGATTGAATTGTCCACATTCAGTTCTCAAACATAATTCTGATATTGCAGATATTATTATCCCAATTCAATTCTCCATCAGAATTCCGTCAAATTCAGTTCTCCATCGTTACTTTAATAATGTCAATTTAATTTTATTTTGATTATTGGTATTCAATTCTTCAGTGTAATTTGAACAATAATGATTCAGTTGTTCACATTCAGGTTTATTTTAGTTCTCTTATCTTAACAATAACATGTTATTGTACTCCATTCAATTATCTAACATAAATTTAAAAGTAATTTTTAATTGAATGCATTCAGTTCTCTATCGTTACTTTAACAATGACGATTTAGTCCTTAAGTTTCAATTCTTCAGTGTAATTTGAACAATAATGATTCAGTTGTTCACATTCAGGTTTATTTTAGTTCTCTACATTATCTTAACAATAACATGTTATTGTTCTCCATTCAATTATCTAACATAAATTTAACCAGTAATGTTTTAATTGACTGCTTCCAGTTCTCTATTGAGAGAAATTATTGACAAAGACAATAACCACACTATGCAGACAGAGCCTGTGGGAAATATTGGGTGCGGCGCAAATGAGCGGAGGGTGCGGAGCTAACGGTCATTTTTGAATTTAAAATTGGGATATTTCTGAAACTAAGCCGTTTTGGGACTTCAAATATACCAAGATATGTGTATTTGACACCAAATATCAATAAAATTGTGAAAATAGTAGTGCAATTCATTTTATAGCGACGCAGTATGCCTTAAACATTTCCCAGACCCATATATTTTGAGACTATCCTTTTAATACTGCATCCCCAGCATTCATAAAAAATGGTGTTCAAGATACACTACCCATGCAAATTATTTTTGCATCTTGGAAGCCAGGCAGTATCTGTGTGATTTTATCAAAATTCGGAAATGTTCTTCATATATGAGCCCCTCTAAATATTGGGTGCGGAGCTACGTTTATGGAGCTGCTCCGCACCCAATATTTGGAGGGGCTCATATCTGAAGAACATTTCCGAATTTTTATAAAATCACACAGATACTGCCTGGCTTCCAAGATGCAAAAATAATTTGTATAGATAGTGCACCTTGAACACCATTTTTTATGAATGCTGGGGACTCAGCATTAAAAGGATAATTTCAAAATATATAGGTCTGGGAAAGGTTTAAGGCACACTGCGTCGCTATAGAATGAATTGCGCTACTATTTTCACAATTGTATTGATATTTGGTGTCAAATACACATATCTTGGTATATTTGAAGTCCCAAAACGGCTTAGTTTCAGAAATATCCCAAATTTAAATTCAAAAATAACCGTTAGCTCCGCACCCTCCGCTCATTTGCTCCGCACCCAATATTTCCCACAGGCTCTGTCTGCATAGGGTGATAACATAGTTTCAGCAATTCTAATAAACCCCGTGTCCATTGCTTGCTTGTATTAAAATCTGGCACCTTCATTCATTTTAATCAATTGTCCCTGTTCAGTTCTCTAATGTTTATTTTATTATTGACAATGTAATTTTCCTCATTAATGTAACTCTGATATTGCAGACATTATTGTTCGCATTCAATTCTACATCAAAACTCTAACAAAGATGATTTGATTTAATTGTCTGCATTCCATTCATTGATATCATGACGTTGCTGATGTAGCATTGATGTTCTTTGCGAATTTCACCATTGATTTATTTCCTTGGTGATTTTAATTTGTGCCAATGATGGGACTCAATTGATCACTCTGTAACATCGGGGCATCTTTGTTTCTGTTGAGTCATTCTGAGTATCCTCGTTTTAAAGGACTTGCTTGAGATATATATATTTATATAATAAAATTTAAATAAAAACATAAGATGATTTCATTTTGTTGCAACTAGCTTCTCGTTCAAATCCTCAGGCAACTATATATATTCGTATATATGTATGGCAGATCTGTTTGATAATTTAACTATGAACTGCTGTTTTTTTTTCAGAATGAAATGTGATAATATAAAATACCCTTATTTGGAGTGCTTCGGCTTTTTTGAAAGCTTCCCTGTAAATCAAAGCAGGCTGGAATTTGAAATCTATGCTCCTCTGCATGGTGCGCTCTCTTGGTTTTAGTTGTCTCAGCACTTGTCATTTGAGCCTGTCCTATTTGACCTAGAGGTAAAATTCAGACTCTTTATTCAGTTACCCCTCATATAGAAATTTTTGATTTTTCTCCTTGCATTGAAATTTGCTAAAGATGCCTCCTGGAGTGTCATATCCTTTTATGGCAAAATACATTGAGTGCCCCCCCCCCCCCCCCCCCCCCTTGACCAAGATCCTATTTATTATGTATCCTAATTTTGATATTTTGGCACATCTCACTACACACTGCTAGTATTTTGTCAAGTGATGGTATTAATGTGACTTGGATTCTGTATTTTTAGAGACGTATTTACTTGATTCACCTAATAACCCGGCCCTTCCACTGAATACACTAGAGATAAATGTGGTTGAAGAATTTGGAGCAACAACTATCAGAACCTTGCTGTGTTATCATGTTTGTATGATGATCAGATAGCTTGCTGCAATCTAGGGTCAGTAAGGATCTTCACAGGGATTTCAAAACAAGCAATCAATCTCAGGTCAACCAAATGGTATCGGCTTGGCTTCCTATTTTTTTATACAGAATTCAATTTATTTATAATAATCAATACAATAGAATACATATAAACAAATTGTTGTTGAGCTTACTACTGATCACCTCTTCTTTGCTAAGCCAGTGTATCATAGTTGCCTGGACCTTTGATGATGTTGTCAACAAACTTTAAAATATTTGGTTGGTATGGGTAATGTATACATGTATCTGAAAAAACATAATACCATGGGAATACCATTTATAGCACTATTAATGGCCTAGAATACACCCATGGAATTAAAGGATTCAGGGGGAACTGAGTTCACGAATCTTGTATTAATGACTGCTTGTTTGCCATCCTGCACATGTACATTTCTTTTTAGATAAATTGCCTTATCTGTAGAACCATCACTAATTATGCTATACTGTACAACTCTTTCCCAAAGTCTATACACAATGTGTCAGATTTTAGGTCAAGTAATATGCCAAGCCCAATGGCCAAGTCTGGCTCTATTTCTCATCCAATCCTGAACAGATACTTCTCATTTAGATCATCTAAAAAGAGAAGACAAATATCCAAAGTCTGCGATAAGGTGAGATTCACTAATATCAATTCTTTTCTCTTTGTCCAGAGACCATAAAATCAGAAAATGAACTATGATTTCAAGGTTATGATTGTCATCATGAGTAAATCGTACCTTGAATGATTACCTTGGTCAAGCATTTTAGTCGTCCCAGGTATACTTTTTTTCATGTGAAAACTTGGCCACTCTATGAATCTTTATGAAGTATCATGGTCATCAACAGAAGATTTCTGGAAGTAACCGCATCCCTTAACAAATGGAGAAAAATGGAGAATCACTAGCAGTTTTCAGTTCATAAAGCAGATCTAATGATCTGTACTGGGGACTGAATCTGGCACTACAAATTTTGCAAAACATCAGTTTTCATATACCAAGGCTAAGGCTCAAGTCTGACTCTATTTCTCGTGCAATCCTGAACAGATACTTCTCATCTAGATCATCTGAAAAGAGAAGACAAATATCCAAAGTCTGCGATAAGGTGAGATTCACCAATATCAATTCTTTTCTCTTTGTCCAGAGACCATAAAATCAGAAAATGGACTATGATTTCAAGGCAATAAGCGTTCATTGTGAGTAAATTGTACCTTGAATGATTACCTTGGTCAAGCATTTTAGTGGACCCAGGTATTCTTTTTTCATGTGAAAACTCGGCTGCTTTATGAATCTGAAGTACCAGGTCGATCAATAAGTTCTGAGAATTTCCCTCTAAAATCAAGAGTTTTGTGACTTTTTGAATGAAATTTTCACAGAATATGTAGAATGTATTCAGCAATTAGTGTACCAAGTTTTTCTTACTTTCCTTTTATTGGACCAAAAATATGGTTACTATGGTAACTTGTGTTTTGGGTAGGCGGGGCAAATAATTTTAATGTCAGAAGTAAAGCGCATAAAATGTAAATAAATCATTTATAAATCAATTATAAATATAGTTCTGAGCTGCTTCCTGCATTAGGGTTGGTCATATAGTCCTAGTAAGATGTCAAGGGGGTTCAATTAAGATGTTCAAAGTAATTTCCTCGGTTCTTAATACACCTCTCCTGGCGTTGAACCAACTGGCGGAACAAGTGCCTAAATCCATCTGGGAAACGTTTTTTCAGGGCATTTTGCACGGCATTGTGGAGGTCTGTAAAGTTCGCATATCTGAATCCTCTCAGCTCATCTTTCATCGGTCCAAACACACCAAAATCACAGATCGCAACATCTGGTGAATAGGGAGCATGGGGTAGTTGTTCCATCTGAAGGTCATTAGATACAGTGCTTTTGACAATCGAAGATGTGTGGGACGGGGCATTGTCGTGATGATTAAGTAATGACGACAGCTCTGTTTCAGGGCGTTTTCGTGCAATAGCCCGCTTAAGATGACGTTTCAATACCTGAAAAAAGAAGTGATTTTTAGGGCACCATTCCCTCACTAGATGTATTTAAACTACATGTACATTCAAGCTGAACTACCTAGACTAGAGTGAACATAAATTCTCTGGCAAGACATGATCCTGAAGGGCATCAATAGCCACACACTAACTTACCATAGCATAATAGTCTTTGTTTATGGTTTGTCCTTCAGCGACTGCATGCACCAGGAGTACCCCGTAGATATCCAGGAAAATGATGAACATAACCTTGCCATCTCTACGATTGAGTTTAGCAATGGTCGTCATAGGGGTAGGGGAGTCCTTTGTTCTCCATCCACTTGTGGCCCTCTTGCCTTCTGGCTCATAATATGAAACATAAACTTCATCAGCAGTAATAATGCGCTCCAAGAAAGCCTCCCCCTCTGATTGGTATCGTCTGAGGAAGTCTTGTGCAACATCGACCCGGCGCTGCTTCTGGTCCATGGTTAGATCTTTTGGCACCCATTTAGAACACACAAGCTTCATATGGAGCTTCTCTTTCAGTATGTACTGTGTCCTTCCATAGCTGAAGTTTACTTTTTCACTTAACTCCCTGATTGTTATTCGCCTGTCTTCATCAAGGACAGTCTTGAGCTTCATTATATTTGTGGGCTTTGTAACAGATAGTGGCCTTCCTGACCTTGCTTCATCTTTTACACTGGTTCTCCCTCTTTGGAATTTGCCATACCATCTGTAAATAGTTTTAGTGGATATCCTGCCTGGAAAGGCTACCAACATCTCCTTGAGTGTTTCTTGTTTACTTTTGCCACCAAGCACGCAAAATCGTATGGCACTGCGCATCTGTATTGACATTTCCTCATTT